CTGCATATGTAACTTTTTGTCCTGAGTTTTCAATTTGTATATCTGTTGTAATTATTTTCATTCGTTGACCAAGGTTTAACTTTGCAGATTTCGACATTTTGATGAGTTAAAATAATATAGCAATTAATTATGGCTTTTGAGTTCAAAATTAAAATTAAAAAAAAACTTGAAAAATATTAAATAAAATAAAAATGTACATGCTATTTTAGACATTCACTGTATGTGATAAAAATATGAAGCACGCTGTACCTTCTACACTCTTCCGTGGAAATTCGTGACATGTCTATCATCGTTTCTGGTAAAGGTAGTTCACTTTTCTTCACTTTTACTTTAACATTCATAAAATATCATGTTTTACGGTATGCCGATCCATCATTAATCAAACCTCCTAACACATTAGAAGACCCCCCTATAATATAAGACCTCCTACGACGACTGTTTTTTTTCCGAAAATGTTTCTATTCATACATTGAAATCTGTCAACTTTTTAGAAGCTTTTCAATCTCTTGGTTATAGTTGAATAGATAATTATGTGCTTCAACCAAATCATATACCACCGTACACATTTTCATCCAAGTTGTATCGAGTTAAATGAAAAAGAAATAAATGAATAGAGTCATGATTTAATTCCATCTGAATTTATTGCCTCTATTTCAACAAAAAAATCGACACGAACAAATGAGTTTAGAAGACATTTGAAAGAATTAAAGAGTTTATTTACTTTTTTTATTTAATTGTATGAAACAGAAAGATTTTTGGTAACTGATTTATTTCGTATAAAAAGAATAGCCATTTTATGTTCTATATACAACGCTTCTTATGCGATTTATTGTACTATGTATAGAGAATAATTGTGCTATGAACTGGTGTTTTTTATTTTATGTGTATAGTGTGCTTTTGGCTGCATTAACATAAAAGACTAAATTAATAAAATTAGAAACGAAATCTTAACTAGAAAAAGGTTAGAAACGTAAACGAACACTGAGAATACTGAATTACAAGGATCTTACAAGGACATAATAGAAGACTTCTCCTAAAAATTCGTGAACGATCGGACAGATTAGAAGACTCCGGGTCTTCTAATGTGTTCAGAGATTTACTGTATTCGGCTTCGGAGTAGACTCAATCGTTTATTTCGATAGTCTTCGTTTTCATGACAAGTCTCTTCCCATTTTTCTACTGTAACATTTGGTGAACTATGTTTACCCTTTTTGCAACCCCCCATCATGCCTCCGATAAATAATGTTTGATGACAACAAATAAATTTGAAACGTTGTTTCATACGTTCAAGATGTTCCTTTTGTTCTGATGCTTGCATACCATAAGCGGATGGTTGAATTGATCGAGCTTCTTCTTTCAATAATTGTTCAATGGCCCCTCGTTGAGTCCATACTTCCAATCTCGAAGAATAATTATCATAGATAAATCCATCATGATGTACACAAGCACCCATGCGATTGTCTTGTTCAATATAGAAATCATTACATTGAACGCATTTAATTCGTTCAGTAGCTCGTCGATTTTCTTCTTCTTCTTCTTCGATTTCATCGTTTGAAAGTGTGAATTTAACATCATCGCGAAACTGATGCAACAAGAATGGTTCGCGTATGACTACAACAGACCATTTCTCATCACTAACAATAGTATTGTCGTTGTCAGAATTCGATACTGCTTGAATATAAGTATTTTGAAATTTATCTTTAATATGAGTGTATATATTATGGTTGATCAATGATAGATTCGTTGTTCGACCTGTTGAAGCATTGCCTTCACTTCGGTTAATACCAATTAATGAATCTAAATCATAAATAATCATTGAACGACGATATGCGGCACACTCATCAAGTCGTTCTTTTAACGTTTCAAATTTTTGTTTTTCATCATAGGCACTTTCAGCGGATAGAAGATTAAGATCGATCAACTGCAGAAGTTGAACATTGCGTGATTTACCATAGACAGTTAAACGTTCAAGTAAACCTTGTATACTTGTTTCCGTATCGAGTAAGGCATGTTGATAGACAATTTTCTTTTGTTCATGAGTTGTTGGATGTGTATGTATAGCTTCAATAGTGATATGACGCGCGTCCATATCAATAAGAATTTTGCCTGTAAATATCGAATCTCTTTGACTTGCTAAATCATGAAAACGTTCTTGAGATTGTTGATCTTCATTGTTGCGATATTGACGATTTGTCGAGCGTAGTAAAATAGTTGCCAATGTTTCAGCACCGAGCAGTATACGAAATTGTCGAGCGGTAATATCAGTCAGCTCAAGCATTGTGCAATAATCTAATTCATAATACGCATTAGTAGTTTGAGCATTATGACAATAGACCGTTATCAGACGGCGAAGACTTCTATTAAAAATATTTCGAATAATTGTCAATCTATTGATTCCTCGCTCGAAATGAAACTAAAGGGTGGTCCAAAAGTTTCGACTATTCTCAGTAAATCGATCATATCTATGGCAAACCTATAATATAATTGATTGGCCGAAGTATGTAATTTCGAAATGCATAAATGTAGTACAATGTTATGGCCATTTTACTAATCTTGAGTAAATATTTTCATCTTACATTTTTTGAGAAAAATTGTAAAAAAGTTTGTTCAATAAAATATCTCAAATGATTTATAAGTTTATCAGACTGACGTCTTGTATAGATATTAATAATCAAATTTGATGATGTGTTGATCTTGTTTTTGAACGAATGCTTTTAATCTTTTTGAAATACTGCTAATCATTTTTTCACATTTTTCTTGACTTTTCTATATATCAATAATTTTTTGTTTGATATTAAACAAAAAGTGAACATTGAACTTTTTTAAATAAAACTGTAAAAACTGTCGAAAGGATTAATCCAAGCAATCGGTAGATTAGAGAACAAATTTTGAAGCAGTAAACTTTATAAAAGAAGATTGTCAATATGAACGTCTACAACAATGTAAATACTGTTACAAAACTACAATCATAAGCAACAAATATAATGAATATTATTTCATTAAAATGATAAGCCTGATATAAAATCTCTGCGAAACAAAAGACATACAACTGTTATGAAAAAAACATTATTTTAAAACTTTTTTCAAAACAATGTAAGATGAAAATATTCACTCAAGATTCGTAAAATGACCATAATATTGATCTACATTTTATGTATTTCGAAGTGTCTTTTTTTATATGATGGCGCTAACCTTCCTCTACAAAATTACATATTTCGATCAATCAACTATAGATAAGTTTGTCATAGATATCATCGATTTACTGGGAGGAGTCGAGGCTTTTGGACTATCCTTGAGTATTTGTTTGTTTTTGCCCTAAAGGAAACCAATGTTTCTACAGGTAACTTGCTGTCAAAAATTTCCTTGTGATATACTTCTGCATTTCAATATCGGATTTTTTCCGCTTCATCAAGGAGCCAGATATTCAGAATCGATTCGAGTGGATGATGCTCCTCATTAACAATTTTATTTTCGCTGTCGCTTACACTACATAGAAATCACAATAGGATAGGTCACTTAGTTTTCTTAATTGATTGAATCATAGTTTATAGGTATAAGTGCAATTATGAATGAAAACTTTGCTTAAGCTGAAAATGCAACTTAGAAACCAATAGTAAATCCTTGACAATTTAGCCAAAATCTTTTTATTCATACTATTCTTTTACCGAATAAATAAACTTACAATTTTGATTTGCAAGACAGAAGAACAAGCAAATATAAGGTCTTATGATTTCATGTGGAAATTCATAATATCTCGTTCTCGTTGTCTACTGTAGAAATTAGTATAATTTCTAATTCGAAATATGGCTTATTTGCTATTGAATGTTCAATTAAATTCAGCTATGTACAGAGATAACTACTACTTCGCATGATCCTTTTATATTCAGATTTCGATTGCGAGAGAGAGGAGTTGAACGCTCTGCTTTCGGAAAAATGATATAGGAAGCAATACGGATTCAAGACGTTTTTGTTTTTGTAACACAAAACTTTACTAGTGCTCACTATGGATATCGCTTCTTAAAACTGTGAATCTTCTTCGTAGAAGTTCCTACGATTTTCATGAACAATCAGATACATTTTCTTGATCTTTTGCCGAGAACCATGAGAATATTTTGTTAGTAAATGATAGTACACGACTCGATATAATTTCATTAAACGACATATATACCCCTGGCAAAAATAAGTTTCCCTCTGTATTTTGAGGA